AGGTAAGCCTTTATTGGAGGAAACAGTTTTGAAAGATTCTTGCTGGAGGAAATAGGATTACTTAATATTTCTGTATTGCTATAAATTTCTTTTGCAAGGTCACTGCATATGACTGAAAGTGTTACAGGGCAAATCAGTAGACCCTGGGACTTTGACAAAATGACAGCATTAGGACTGACAGGGCCTCAGAAGTTCTTTAGAATCCAGAATTTCTGAACTTCCCTGATATAAGAATCACCAGGATTCATTCAAAAATTCCCAGGCCCCACTGAAATTCTTCCAAGAAAGGCCTGGAACCCTCTATAGTTTTCCAAGTGCCCCTGGTGAGTGCTGTCATCAGGAAGGTTTGGAAACACTGATGATCTCACCCACTTCTCTGCCCCCGTCCCTAAGACCTCCTAAGGAAATACCTGGGCCCACCTCTGACGTTTGTTCTTCTTAAGCCCTTGCCAGGTAGCCATTTCTTCTTTTTCTGGGGAGGGGGGTACAAGAGATTGCATTCCAGGGGCACTCAACCATTGAGCCATATCCCCAGCCCTATTTTGTATTTATTTAGAGACAGGGTCTCACTGAGTTGCATAGCACCTCACTGTTACTGAGGCTGGTTTTGAACTCACAATCCTCCTGCCTCAGCCTCCTGAGCTGCTGGGATTACAGGCATGTGCCACTGCACTTTGCACCAGGTTGCCATTTTTTATTGCACAAATTGTCCCTTTCTGTCCATGGCCAACTTCTGGCTCCCTTTAACTTCTCTTCATTAACCCCAGTTCTTCTTCCAAACATAGGACAATTTTCCATTTTCTCTTTGAGCTATAAACCTGTTTATTTTCTTCACATGTTTTTAGAGGAAATCTTTAAATATTGTCTAGAGGGAAATGTGTTTTCCTTTCATGAGAACTTGTAATAAAATTCAAAGATTGCTTACATAAAATTGTGGTATTCCTCTTTGAACTTTTAAAGTAGTTTCTGTCTTATTCTATCTTTGGTTGCTATGACAAAATGCATAAGGCTGGGTACTCTAGAGAGAAAAGAGCTTTATTTAGCTTGAAGTGGAGGTTAGAGAGCATGGCAGCAGCTTCTGCTCAGCTCAGATGAGGATTTCATGGTATCAAAATGGCAAAGGCTCAGGTGAGAATGGCAGAAATGCATGGAAAAGACATATAGAAGAATTCAGTGGAGAAACCAGAATGGATTCCTTATAACAACCCATTCCCACAGGAAACCAGTCCAGTCCCACAGACTGGTGCTAATACCTTAGGAGGGTGGTACCCCGACGACCTATTACTTTCTATCAGGCCCCATCTCTTAAAGATTCTACCACCTCAGCAACGCCACACTGGAGACCAAGCCTCCAGCACATGACCTTCTAGGAGAGAAACCATTCCCAACTTATAGCTGTCTCCATCTGAAAAGACACTATGCTAAAAGGACAGACCACCACATTCACATTCTGAAGGACACATAAACCCATGTATTCATGTGCTGTGGTCCTGAGAGCTGCCACAGTCTACAAATGAACAATTCATCATTCATTCCTGTGATTAATTAGAGTGCACTTTTACAAAGATTTATTAAATGTTTGCCGTGTACTGAGCACTATGCTGTTTGCAGGGAATATTGATATAATATTTATCTAACTGGTTTGATTACCTCTGCCCGTTAAGACTCTTGGTGAATAAGCTCCATAGTTTTGCCCCTAATAATAGCAATGATCATCAATTTAGTAATTGGAAAGGATTTCAGAGGTCCCCTGATCCAACTTTTCTTTTTTTTTAATATTTATTTTTTAGTTTTAGTTGGACACAATGCCTTTATTTCACTTATTTATTTTTATGTGGTGCTGAGGATCAAACAATCCACAATCCCAGCTCATGATCCAACTTTTCAATCCACTAAAATAAATGAGTAAATGTGATAGAGATTCTGTTCTTTAGGACTTTATGGTCTTGCAGGGGGGCATTTTTAGAGCGAATGGCATTAAATGAAATTAAAGCACCTATTTATTAGGTTATGAATAGCTCAACTATATACTTCTAAGGATGGGTTTGTCTACATCCATGATGTAATCAAAGGAAAGAGTGATCAGTATGGAGCTTGGAGGCAGAGTGTTCAGTTGCACTTCTGATGAGCTAAAAGAGGACATTTGAGCCCACCGAGGTAGAGCACACCTTTAATCCCAGCAGCTCAGGAGGCTGAGGCAGGAGGATTGCAAGTTCAAAGCCAGCCTCAGCAATAGCAAGGCTCTAAGCAACTCAGCAAGACCCTGTCTCTAAATAAAATATAAAAAAGGATCTTGGGGCTGTGGGTCAGTGGTAAAGCACACCTTTGTTCAATCCCTGGTTACCCACCACCCCGTCCCCCAGCCCCCAGAGACAGGGAGAGGACATTGGAGCTCCCTTTCACTTATGTGTTCCACACTAACCTATTATGCCTTGCGTGTTAAACACTAGGGATCAGAAGCCAGGAGGAGCACCTGTTCTCAAGTAGGTTACAGTCTCTCTCCAGGACTTGGGCATCCACTTATTTGCCAATGGATACACTCACTGAAATTCACCTTGAACCAAATTTGTAAGTTGAGGCACTGTCACAGTCTTTTCTACACGTATGCAAAGGTGGGAAAATTTTGAGTCACCTGCCTCACCTATTTCCAGCCGTGGTCAAACAAGGTCAAAGCCTTCCTTCCTTTCCTCACTCCACTTCATATTGTGCCATATTTTTTTTTTTGCATTTTGGGGTTTTGCTTTCATGCCTTTACTATTTAAAATGCCCCTCAAGCCGGACACAGTGGCTTATGCCCGTCAGATGTAGTGTTGAAATGGCATCTAGCGTTGTGAGTGCAAGAAGGCTGTGCTGTGGCTTCCAGAGAGAATCACAAAAGTTAGATGAGCTTCTCTCAGGCATGAGGTGTAGCGCCATTGGTTGTGAGCTCAGTGTTAATTGGTAATCTGGTACATTCAGCAATAGGAGAGGAGATTTGCTGATTGGTATATGAGTATGCTGTGCTTAAGTAACATCTACCGTGTGTGGCGAAGCTGTGGAAAAGATGGAAAAGAGACCAAACTCAGGAATTCATGAGGTGACAACTGATTAAAAATCGAATCACCAAAGCCTAATGGACAGCACTGTTATGAGGCTGAAAGCCAAAGACATTTAGAGTCACATTATCCAAGGTCAGGAAAACTATTAAACCCTTCTCAGTTAATGTTGTATTATTAAAAAAAATTAGATATCATTAATTTCTAAGAAATATTAACTTTCGGTATCTTCAAAGACAAACACATGTAAAATAGGTAATGGGTTGATCTGTTGATGATACTGCTATGACCAGAGGTACACAGGAACGGATCCCTATGTTTCCTTTAGGGAACACGTCACTGTCCCCTACAAGCCAGTGCTTGTGGTGACTGAAAAACATGACCACAAGGAATAACAAGACTTGCTGGGTGTAATGATGCATGTCTGTAATCTCAGCCACTCGGGAGGCTGAAGCAGGAGGATTGCAAGTTCAAAGCCAGCCTCAGTGGCAAAAAGCCCCCATAGGTGCCATCCCCAGTACCACGAAACAAAACAAAAACAAAGTACCAAGACGTTGTGTTATAGACCACAGGAAAGAGTGAGCAGTTCATTTGGCATTTTGACTAGAATATAGGATATCCTGGAAAAGAAGAAGAGGGGAGAGAGAGAAAAAGAGAGAGGAGTATCACCATAAGTTAGAACCAAATCATGGAGGCTTTGAAAGCCAAAATATGAAGCCAAACAATGGGAGTGCATTAGTCTGGGTTTTGTTACTATAAAGAAATTGTTTGAGGGCTGGGGTTATGGCTCAGTGGTAGAGTGCTCGCCTAATATGTGCAAGGCCCTGGGTTCGATCCTCAGCACCACACAAAAATAATTAAATAGAATAAAGGTATTGTGTCCAACTACAACTAAAAAATAAATATTAAAAAAAGAGAAAGGTTTGAGCCTCCAGCCATCACTGGATTGCTTTATAAGAGTGTAAGTGTATGACTACATCCTCAGATAAGGACACTTGATGCTCAGTTCAGAGGTCCAAAATTCCCCATTTCCTGATTGCTTTGCTGTTTTTACTTGTTTTCATTTAATCCTCACCACGGGACTTAGTTCTCATCTGGTGGGGAGTTGCCCCAAGGCCCTACCTTGGTTGAACTTGTTTTAAATTTCCTGTCTTCCCTGAAAGTGGTTTCCTATCTCCCCACCCCAGCTTTACATCACCTGCCATTTTGATTAGCACAGCTTAGGAAATAACTCAGATCATCTTGAGATACCTAAGAAGATTAGAAAAGAGGGAAGAAGGAAGGGTGAGAAAGAAGCAGAGAATGTCTCCTCTCTCTTAGACAATGCAGTCACCAGGGAACCAGTCACCAGGATCTATCTGGATCCCCAAGAACTCAATAGGGATCCACTGTCAGCCACCTTGGGGTTCCCATTTGAAGCTGCTGCCCAAAGCATCTTCTCATTGATCTACTTCTGGGGATCTTGGAAAAGATGCTTTGAAAGTCTCCTCCCAGGTTGGGAGCGTAGCTCAGTGGTAAAGCTCTTGCCTAGCATGCAGGAGGCCCTGAGTTCAATCCCCAGTACCATCAAAGTAAAAAAAAAAAAAGTCTCCATGCCCCCACTTGAGGACTTAGTAACCTATAGCCCAAAATAGCCTCATAATATGCAGGTCTCCTTTCCAAAATTGTTAAGAATCCCAAGATGGTGGTAGCAAAGCAGTAAACCAACCCCCATCTGACTACATGGATTGCACACCCATACAGTGGGTCACAGTTCTGAAATAGCCTGTCTGTCTCCATGCCCTGTGAAGGATCCCGGTCTCCTGTCTTCCCATCACTCTGCCCACAGTGGAACATTTTATGAACCACAGTTTAAGGCTTTGAAGCAGCTTCTCTTTGTATGTAAAAGAATTACCTGTTATTTCTACCTTTCTTGACAGTAATAACTTTTGAGCTAATTTTTATTTTTTTGTTCTACCTCTTCAGTGACAACCCTGCTACCCAGTTTAACCTCAAAACTCACATGAATTCTCGAGACCTGAAGACAGCTATTGAGAAAATTACCCAGAGAGGAGGGCTTTCTAATGTAGGTATGTGACCCCGCTTCAGATAATTCTATCTTGTTGCCATGGTTCTCTTTCTACGTGGTTGTCTTCTAACATTCTATATTGAAGGAGGGAAAAAAAAAAGAATCCATCAAGAAATGACTCATGTAACATCTGTATCTTTTCTAAAGTATTATAATGAATTCAGGTGGCAAGAGTTGTCAAAACATATCTGCCATCTAGTTCCAGCTTGCTTGGTTCCTCGGGATGCCAACATTCTTCAGGACAAGCAGGACTGCTGTTGTGACTATTTCCTGGTTGGCCTCCAAGTTGCCAAGACTGAACATTAAATTCCACCATCAATTCCATCAGGAAGCAGCTCAGTGCTCCTTGGGAGTCTTGTTCCAATCAGCTACGGTTGCAGCAATGACTTTGCAAACAGAGTCTTGTCCTCTATTTCAAGATGAATCTTTTGTGATGTCTGAGCCTTTGGAGGGGGAACCAGAAGTTCAAGATCTAACCCTCACTGGAGCAGGTTCAGAAACTCCATTTTATCATTTCACCCAGAGGTGACGGGGCATTAGGAAACAACAGCTTTACATTTTCACACTAACCGTGCTCAGACTGTCAAAGAACCCATGCCAGTGTGTAATTAATGTATAAATGGTAGCCTGACTTTGGGGGGACACAAGGGGGGATGATTACATGCTTCTCAGGGAACCTGTTCATACCATCAAACTCCAAAAGACTGGAGATGTGGGCCACATTTGCTTGGCATGGAGAAGCTACGTGCAGGGTGTAGAACTATCTTATCCTTGAGGGAGTTACAGTAAATCTGATTAATTATTTCCCTCCCCCAACCCTCAGAGAACATTTTGTAGCCATCAAACATAAGAATCGAGCAGATGCAGAGCCTTTCACTTTTGAACAACGTTAAATAAACACTGACCAAGCTGCTACTCTCCATGCCCCAAATTCCAAAGCATCTTCGTTACAAACATGATAAAGTTGATTTCTGACTTGTTCTCCACTGAATCCTTCCATTAGCAAAATTTTACTGGAGAAAAACTTCAGAAGACAACTAACTTCCCTGAGGAGGTCAGAAAGGTGTTCGAACCTAATCAGTATACCTTTGTCAGTGTAGGACAGGTTTGAACTCTGCCTCTGGTTTAGGGTTTGGTTTCAGAGGACAGAATCCAACCAGCTGGTTCAGGTATAAAGTGACTTATTTCAGAGCATGAAACACTATGAGAATTATAGAAAGGACTGAAGAAGCTGACTCTGGGAGCTTCTTTTGGAAACGGGGCTTCCAAGGGAGCTGCTACCTCTTCCAAGTTCTAGAAACAACTTTCTGAATTCTGCCACCACAGCCTCTTCAGGAACCTGCTTCAGCAGGAAGCCCACGATCAGAAACCTTCTTCTACAGCTGCCAAACTCCAGAACCAAGTCCTCCCTGACCCATTCTTACCCACAAAAGGGCAATCCTGCACCCTCTCTCCTAACACCATTGAAGCTAGCAACCAACACAAACATGTCTGTCAGTGGTGCTCCAAGAGAAGTCAAATACTCTACAGATTCTGATCAGCAGAAACTGCTGAAAGAAAAGTTCAGCCCCTGCCTGCTGTCATCTTCTAGATCTCATGTAAATGCATCGATTTGTGAAAGTAAAACAGAGCTGAAAATCTAGATGCAAGAGAGTATGGACAATGTAGTTTTCAGACATCCAGCATCTGGTTTCAAGACCCACTACAAGCCACGCACAGTGGCGCACGCCTGTAATCCAGCAGCTCTGGAGGCTGAGGCAGGAGGATTGCAAGTTCAAAGCCAGTCTCAGCAATTTAGCAAAGCCCTAAGCAATTCAGTGAGAACCTGTCTCTAAATATTTTTTTTAAAAAATGGCTCAGGATATGACTCAGTGGTTAAGTGCCCCTGAGTTCAATCCCTAGTACCAAAAGAAGAAGAAGAAGAAGGAGGAGGAGGAGGAGGAGGAGGAGGAGGAGGAGGAGGAGGAGGAGGAGGAAGAGAAAGAAAAGAAAAGAAAAGAAATCAACAACAATAAAAATCCACTGCAAGGTGGATGGAATGTGCATCAAGCACTGGTTCACTGTGGGCTCAACTAGACTCAAGATTAGGTGGGGTCAAAGTGATCTTTTGGCTCCCTTATGGTACCTAATATTAAGCCAGAAAGGACTACTAGGTGCTGTGGGACTTGATGGAAATTATCCCTTGGCCATGGAAGCAGTTTTCAGCAGCCAGCGGTTTCCCTTAGCAACCAGGTTCTGTGCAGACAGTTCACATAGGTTCACTAAGACACTTCTCCAGGACTTTGTATGTAACCATTTGATGCTTTCATTTGACAGGTAATATTATACTGCCCAAACCAGAGAAGCATTGAGTGTAATAATATTCACCTAAAGAAGGTGGTTGTTAGCTGTTATTAGGGACTCATTTGAGAATCTCCAAAAAGAATATGTATGGCCTTGCTACCCAGATAGTACTCATACACAAGATCCTGTGTATAATTTCAGAGATGCATGGGTATACACACACATCTCTCTCACACACACATACACACACACATGGTTCCACACAACCCAGCAAGGGAGACTTGTCATCCCAATTTGCCCAGGGGAACCTGGGCTTTTAGCACTGAGACTGGGAAATTGCTGGAAAAGTAGGATAGTTTGTCATCTAGTTGACTCTGAAAATGTCCTGAGACCCTGTACACGGGAGAAAGGCATCTCGAGGTTTCACAAAGCCCCATGATTGTTGCACTCAGCTGAAGCAGATCACTGGCCTGGAAGTCTAGACCCAGAGACTATTAGGGACCACCCAGGGCCACACAGCCAGTGGTTGGCACAGCCAGGGCTAGAACACAGTCTCTCAGTTCCTGGTGGGTATAGCTCTTCCCTGGACAGCCAGACTTGGGCCCCTGGCTTGGAACTGGAGGAAAGACCGCTGACCACAGAATACAGCCCTGCAGGCCCAGCAGCTCCTGGAACACTGGGCTCGCCCAGGCTTTAGGAAGCCCAGAGAAGGCTACTGTCACTCCAGTTCAACTCCTCCGAGCCTGTGCTCTAGGACACAACGTGGGGCAGCTTAGAGACTTAGAGTGAGTCTAGTACCCAGGCAGATAAGAGGCCCTTTATTTTTATGAAAGTCTTTCCCTGCTACTTGCTGGTCCCTATGACTTTTTTCAAAGCAGGAAGCAATTAGAAATTAAAGGCTTAAAATGAAACTAAGGGAACGATGTGATGACTGCATGGCATTGTGAATGTGCCCCAGTGCCACTAAACTGTACACCCACAACTAAAGCGGTTCAAAAAATAGAACAGTCAAACTGGGAGGGAATGAGTGTGTTTTTCTGGACCTCTTTGTACTGCTGTGATCTGTTCCTGAATTTATCACTGGCATGATCCCTTCAAGCATGAGTCTCTTTTTCTTCCAGGCCGGGCCATCTCCTTTGTGACCAAGACCTTCTTTTCCAAAGCCAATGGAAACAGAGGTGGTGCTCCCAATGTGGCCGTAGTGATGGTGGATGGTTGGCCCACAGACAAAGTGGAGGAGGCTTCAAGGCTTGCAAGAGAATCAGGAATCAACATTTTCTTCATCACTGTGGAAGCTGCTGCGGAAAATGAGAAGCAGTATGTGACGGAGCCCAACTTTGCCAACAAGGTTTGTAATTGCCAGAGACTCACCCACAGTCAAGCTCCCCTGTACTCTGAAAAGCTGAAATTCCAGGAAGATTGTTTTCTTGGGCTTTCAAATGTGTGTGAAGCTCACATCTAGGTAGAAGTGTCTCCAGTGAGGGAACCTCAAATTACCCTCTCAAAGAAAAGTCCCACACCCACCCTAAGGCCAGCAGCTTGGGAACAGAAGGCAGGAGCAGTGTCCCAGAGGTCTCATGTGGAGGCTCTTCCTTGCTCCTCCCACAGCATCAGGGACCTCAACCAGGCAGCTTCATACAAATACATGAGCTTGCACATGTGTGTACACACACACACACACACATACACACGTACTTTCACACAAACATGCTACAAATTAATCCATCTGATAAACAAGAGAAGGGAGGTGTTGCGACATTTCAGGCAGGTCGTGTTTCCAATGCTACTTCTGGGTTCTGCGGAGATGTCTGGCCAGAGATGAGGCAGGACAGATGGGATAGTAGGCCTCCTGTTCCCAGTCTACTAAACCACTTTTGGTGTTTTCCAGTGGCTGTCTACATAAACCTTCCTTCAAAGGCAAAGCTTCAACTGAAGGACAGAGAAGGAGAGAAGAAAGAATGGAGGGAGGGAGGAACAGAGCCAGCCAGCTTGGACAGCTTGTCTTTGGTTTTTTTTTTTTATTTTTTCGTACTGGGGTACGAAAAAAAAAAAGATCTTTTCATTTATTTATTTACTTATTTTTATTTGAGACAGGATCTTGCTAAGTTGCAGAAGCTGGCCTTGAACTTGGGATCCCTGCCTCAGTCTCCGGAGTTGCTGGGATCTCAGGCCTGTGCCACCATGTCGGGCAAAATCTTGTCCTTGATGCTCCTCCAACTTTATTATTATATGTTTTTGGAGCTGATAGGGCTGGGCCTCCTGCAGCATAGCAGGCTGCTGACCTCTACTTGCTCCATGAAATTCTCTTCCTTGACTTCCCGGCCCTGTGCAGCTGTTATTTCACTTGCTCTTTTTTTTTTTTTCCATTATGTACCCTGAACATGGACCTTTTCAGGACTTAGACCCTGTTCCTCCATCTTCTCTCACAAGATTCTCTCCCTCCAGTCTCCCCAGGGCCACAGCATCAGTCTTCATCTCTTGAGTCTTCTCTGTCCAGATGAAAGACTCTGCCGGCACCCCCATACTAAGGATTGAGCCCTGGGGTGCTCTACCACTGAGCTACATCCCAGCCCTTTTTATTTTTAGACAGTCTCTTGCTGTTGCTCCTGCCTCAGCCTCCCAAGTCATTGTGATTATAGGCATGTGCCATCACACCTGGTGACCTTTCCCTTTTCGGAAGCCCTGTCAGAACCTGAAGTCCTACACACAGCAAGCCAAGTTCATCATCATCTTTCCCACCCAAACTGTCTCCTTCTTGGGACTTTGCATGAACAGCCCCGTCCATCCCAGAATTCCTCATCAGCTCCCAAACTGCATCCCTCATCTCTCTGTTCTTTCTCTTGCCCAGTGACATCTCCCTACTTCAAGTCAGTATTTAACATCCTGCCTGCCTTTCTCCCGGGTCTCCCTTGTAGAGATTTCACAGTGAAGCCCAACTCATGCTTATAAAGAGTTCTTCCAACTACGGGGCTCTTGCTCCAAATCCTTCACTGTCCCTCATGTTTTCTTGAAGCCTTCTAAAGCATGGTCCCAACCCCACTTCCTGGCCCTGCTGCTGTGACACCACACAGGCCCTGTGCTCCAGCCAATGACCACCTGTCCCTGGCCAGCACCACCACTCTCTGCTGCTGGAATCTCACACAAGCTGTCCGATAGGGATCCTCTTCCTCCATAGGATCAGCTTCCTACCAGCACTCAGCCTCTTGTGCCGCCTCGTCCATGGAAAGTTTTGTAACCTGCTTTAGGTTTTTACAAATCAAGAAAAAGATGTATTTCCTGGGAAGGATTAAGTCATTACTTGTTTCAAAATAATTTTTTAATTGTACAGATTCATCCATAGTCATGAGGTCAGACATGCTCTGTGACCCGCAAAGGAAGGGACAGGAAGAAATGCCCTACCTTAGGAACACTAGCCCTGTCACTTCCAGGAACACACCAACAAGTTTGCTCAATGTTTATTTGTAGCTGACTTGAATTTTTTCTGGAACAAGCTTGGGCACAAGTAAATAAATATTCGTTTGCCTAGAGGCAAGGTTGTCTGGAGGGCAGAGCTTGGGTTTTGAAGGCAGACAGCTAGGCAGTCTAGTTTGGGGAACTCAGGAATGTCCCTTGTAGTGGACCCTCAGTTTGTTTTCTAACAATGGGGGGTCATCGTTCCCCTTGTAGGGTGAGGTGAGGATTGAATGAGAGAATCTCTCCAAGAGCACCTAGTATGACCCTGACCCATGTGGCTACTCAGCAACTCTGGGGCCCCTTCCCACTGGGTACAGGCTGCTCTGGAAACATTCCTCAGTCACTTCTTAGGTATGCTCTGTTTTCCCCAGGAGAACAAAAGCTTTCTTTAATTCTCTCATGCGTTGGTGCCCACCAATGCCAGTCATGGCTGGCTGCCAGTACAAATGAATTGAGCTGAAGAGGCATAAATCTGAAGCAGAAATCAGTGACTTACATCTCCCTGTGCATTCGCCTAGCACAAGGGCTTCCCACTGAGGCACTGGCAGCCGCGGAGACAGGAGTGAGTTCAGAGATTACTAGAGAGGTCTTTGCCTCAGCAAGTGCCCAGACAGGGGAACAGAAAGGGAGAGAGCCATCAACAAGGACTAGCATAGCAAACAGGAGTCTTGTTTGCTTCTTCACCCAACTGGAGGCCCAAGGTAAGGGTGCCAGGTTGGGGGACTTGACCCCTGACCTGGTGAGTGTCCCTCCCCTCTGTCCTCCAGGCTGTGTGCAGAACCAATGGCTTCTACTCGTTCAACGTGCAGAGCTGGTTGGGCCTCTCCAAGACCATGCAGCCCCTGATAAAGCGGGTCTGTGATACCGACCGCCTGGCCTGCAGCAAGACCTGCTTAAACTCAGCCGACATTGGCTTTGTCATTGACGGCTCCAGCAGCGTGGGGACAGGCAACTTCCGCACGGTCCTGCAGTTTGTGGCCAACATCAGCAAGGCGTTTGAGATTTCAGACACAGACACACGTATCGGGGCCGTGCAGTACACCTATGAGCAACGGCTGGAGTTTGGGTTTGACAAGTACAGCACCAAGCCCGACATCCTCAACGCCATCAAGAGGGTGGGGTACTGGAGTGGTGGCACCAGCACTGGTGCTGCCATCCACTATGCCCTGGAGCAGCTCTTCAAGAAGTCCAAGCCCAACAAGAGGAAGCTGATGATCCTCATCACCGACGGCAGGTCCTACGACGACGTGCGGATACCAGCCATGGCCGCCCATCAGAAGGGTAGGGGGAACCTGGTTCAGCCAGCTGCTGAGGCTTCTTAGGGCTGGGAGAGGCTGTCCTTGGAGGGCAAGGAAGGCTCTGCTTTTCTGTGCATTGGTTTTGTCTGTGACAAAATGTTCAAAACCATTAGAGGAGCAAAGATTGCAGGTGTCTGAGTAGCAAAGAGGGAAGGAGGAAGGGCAGCCAGAGGCTCCCCCAGTGTCTTTGAAAACAGGGACCCTTTCCTTGACCTCCTACATCCTGAGACTTTTCCCACCAGGGCTTGAGACACTAAAAGGGAATTCTATTTGTCACTTTCTATGAAAGAAAAATCCCTAGCTGTGTTGAAGACACCAATTTGTCTTTAGTACCTTTTAAAGACTAATAGAGTTCTTTAAGGAAGTCGTACTATGATTGTAAATTAGGTATTGAGGGTTTGGGGGGGGAACCCAAAGAAATTTTGATTCAGAATATTTAAAAGAGATATTTCCATATAAAAATTTCTAAGTTGTTGAGAGAAGGCTCAAAAACACAAAAAATGAGGGCTGGGGATGTGGCTCAAGTGGTAGTGTGCTCGCGTGGGGCACTGGGTTCGATCCTCAGCACTACATAAAAAAAAAAATGAAGTAAAAATATTGTGTCCACCTAAAATTAAGAAATAATTATTTAAAAAAAACACACAAAATGAACAAAGTACTTTAGTGTTTAGAAAATAAGTCACATTTATGAATTAATTAAAAAATATATAAAACTGTTCTCAAAAGTGCCATAAAATAGCATGAAAATATAACAGCCTGAAGAAACCCAAAATGATAATAATAATAATCGTAATAATAAATGGGCTGGGGTTGTGGCTCAGTGGTAGAGCGCTTGCCTAACAAGTGTGAGGCATTGGGTTTGATCCTTAGCACCACATAAAAATAAATAAATAAAAAGTATTGTAGCCATCTACAACTAAAAAAAAAAAGAAAAATAGTAACAATAATAATGATAAAACTGAATCGAGTAGTCAGTGGAACTGGAGACCTCTAAGTGCTAGGGTACAAAACTCACTCAATGCAGTGGTCAATTATTTTTCCTTTTTCTGTGTATACTTTTAATATGGGTTATTTTTTCAGGATTTTTTGTATTCTTGAGAGCTGCTTTAAATCCTTCCTAAGACAATTCTTAATGAACGGGTGGTGCTGGCTTCCAGAAACCAAAGTATCTAGACAATGCATTCAGGCAAAGTCTTCTCAGGGACTTGCCTTTTGCAGAGTCTCGGGCACCTTCACAATGGTGAGATGGTGATGTTCTTTGTGCCAGTGGTCACAAATTCCCTTGGTGTCACGTCAGCAGAGTTGGTCAAGGGTCATAAGCTACCTGCTCCAAATCCCAGAGTGAGTGGCAGATGGGCCAGCTCTTGGCTCATCAGCCCAGGGCTTTTTCTAGCACATCTGTCCAAGCTCACGTTCAGTCCCACCCTCACTTATTTCTCTAGGTACTTTCTTTGGGCCTCACCCAGGAAGTGAGGGAATGAGAAGACTGTTGGAAATGGGAGCTCTCAGAGGATCATATTCTGGGAAGCTTTAAAGAACTGGGACCAATAGATACAAATTACATGGAGGCGGGTTCCTGCTCAGCCAAACACTATGATTCATCTAAAAATGCAATGAGCATTGTGTTCCTAGGATAATCCAAGTCCAGAGTTAATGACCATCTGTCAGAATTGACAGTAGAAGGTTCTGTGCAGGGGTGGTCTCAAGGATCTGAAAAGTTGCATACTGCTCTCTAGTCTTTATCGGGGGATATTCTTTCTTTCTTTCTTTGAGCAGAAATATGGGCTTGCTCAGTCTAAGCTCAGTTCCCATGGCCACTTGGTCACCATTTTAAAACCCAAGGCTGGCTTCCCCTAATCAAGACAGTATTCAGAGAAAAGAAGCTGGAGAGGTGAGAAAAGGGGCTGGCAGCTTATATGCAGCATGATGGACAACTGGAAGCATATTAGACCAGAGCTATGTGAAACACTGACAGCTCCTAATAAGCAGGACAGGACACCTAGAAGATGAGATGGGCCACTGGCAGAAAGGGGGCTGCAGGGCAGGTGCCTGGGCAGGAAGACCACCCCAGGTTCTGCCCTCTGTTTCCTGGCCGTCCTGTGCATCCACCCTGGTTATCCTGAAGGTGGTATAGGAATAGGATTTTGTAGAATAAGGTCAAGTACCTGATATCCAGCTGCCCCCAACCAAATCAAGAACTATCACAGCAGGCAGTTTCCCCACTTTCCCCACTAAAGATTGTTACCTCCTCTCTGAAGTGGATGTTCAAAAGTATTTCTTGAATGAATGAATGGCCATACCTATTCTTAATTCTAGAACCTAGAGTTCCATGGGAGTTTTTTGTTTTTTTTTTAAATCACTTAGTTTCCAAAGTTTAAATTTTTGGCACATTTCTGATTTGGGGTTTGGTTGTGCTGACAGAGCAGCAGAAAAGCAAAGATTCATTAGCAACACTTTTTCTTAGGGGCATTTGTTTCACCTGATCTTTGTCCCCACAGGTGTGATCACCTATGCAATAGGGGTTGCGTGGGCTGCACAGGACGAACTGGAGATCATTGCCACTCACCCTGCCAGAGACCACTCCTTCTTTGTGGATGAGTTTGACAACCTGCACAAATCCGTCCCCAGGATCATCCAGAACATTTGTACAGAGTTCAATGCACAGCCGCGGAACTGAATTCAGAGCAGCAAAGCATAGCAAATGCTGCCCTACTAACTGGCTCTTTGGACCATCCCTGTGCTTTCTGGGGGCACCCACAGGGTGGCGAGTCTTGGGGAGGGCTTGGGCAAACAAGATGCATTTCTGTTCTTTGCCACTGCAATTCTCATATGTCAAAATTTGGCACTGGAAATATGATCATCGACTTACAGATTGAATCAAAATGATACGTCAGTTTTAGGGTGCTGAGGATTTACATTTTGACAGTTGTTTTCAAAATCCATGTTCAGAAGAGAGTGCAGCACTTATTGACAGGCTTAAATGGAGCTTTTGTGAGAATTTTTTATTTTTATTTCTCATAGAACTCTGTAACCCTCAACAAGTTTCATTTTGTCATGACAGTGTAGGAGTTGCTTAATTAAATGTTTAAAAGGATCACATGCGCTCTTTCTCACTGTGTCACATGTCATGGGGTGGGAGGTCTGTGGTGGGGGCCACCCTCCACTCTTCCAGCCCAAGGTAACAACATATCCAATGGTATGGAGAATGTGGTAGGGTCCCTGCTGTTCCTGTTGTCTGAATCACTGAATGCCTGCATCACGCAGCTTTTGGAACACTGGCCCTTGAGGAACAAGTAGATCTTGCTTGAAAGTGGTGCTACCCAAATCCCGATTCTCAGGTTCCATCTTAATACCAGTGAAATCCAAGTCTCTGGGAAGAACTGGAATCCAAGTATTGGCATATTTTAACAGCTCCCCAGTGACTCTTAAAGGTTGCTAGGATTGAGAACCACTGCACTACCTCTGAGGGATCAGTGTTACAGTCATTTCCTACAAGTTTCCATGCTTGTTGTCCTAAGGGATCCATCTAGTTTAGCATTTGTCTTGAATTTTTCAATGATAGCTAAATTTTAAATTTTTTTTTTTTGTACCAGAGATTAAACCCAGGGGCACTCAACCACTGAGCCACATCCCCAGTCCTATTTTGTATTTTATTTACAGACAGGGTCTCACTGAGTTGCTTAGTGCCTCGCTTTTGCTGAGGCTGGCTTTGAACTCAAGGTCCTCCTGCCTCAGCCTCCGGAGCTGCTGGTATTATAGGCATGCGCCACCACAGAGGGCTGAGAGCTAGATGTTATTATTGATGTTTTTGCATTACAATAAGCTGGGAGAAATCTGGTTCAACTTTCCTTTTTACTTCCATGTTCTGCCAAGAACATATCTGTCAAGATGTGAGATACATGTACAATGGGGAGACATTCAAAAGAATACCAAAAAGGGCTCACTCAGTGTCTGGGTATATGTGATGTCTAAAACTCCACTAGACTTGATTTTTCTCAGGAATTAGGGTCTTTGGAAAAAAAGCTTTTTTTTTTTTTTTTTTTTTTTTACTAAGGCTCAATGTTTGCTTGGGGTATTGGAGACTGAACCCAGGGATCTTTTACTACTGAGTCACATCCCTAGCCCTTTTTATTTTTAAATCACTTAGTTTCCAAAGTTTAAATCACTTAGTTTAAATCACTTAGTTGCCAAAGCTGTCCTGGAACTTGGTGATCCTCCTGCCTCAGCCTCCCAAGTCACTGGGATCACAGGTAGGTGTGTGCCACCATGCCTGCAAGTCTCAAAGTTTTGTGATAAGGCTCGGCTAAAAATTTCTGGCCAAAATGACAAGGTCCAGATATTTCTTGTTTTCTTGGGCTTTTTAATCCTTTTGAACAGGACAGCACCTTCATAAGATAACTTTCCCGGCAGCCTCCTCAAGGGCCTGCGTGGGTTTATAGAAATCTTCCTGTGTCCAAGGATGTTTCAGCCTCAAGGAAGAATTTCCAAAGAACCATGTTGTTTTCTAGTCAAAATACTAAGAGAAGATTTCCCCTTAGCTTACAGTATATAAATATAAAAACTGAAAGCACGAAATCAATTGCTTTGGAAAAAGGTATTTATTCAACCAATGCCTTTGAGGAATTCATAGCCCGGCAGGAAACCACAATGAAGAATTAAAGTCACATCATCGTCATGGGCTTATGCACCAAATGCATGAAGGGCAACTGCAAACGACCTCATAAGAAATAAAACTGTAATTATGAAGTAAGTGTTTGCCACAGGTTGGGCACTGTTCTAAGGCTTCACACGTGCTAACTCACCCCTACGATTTGCTGAGAAACTCTTCTTATTCACATTTTATAGATCATACATCTGAGGCCTGGAGAGGTCAAGGAACTTGCTCGAGGTCATAGAGTTGGCACAAGGAAGATCTGAAAAGTTCGCACAGGCAATCTCTCTCCAGGGTCTGTACTCTCACCCACTTTGCTTCTTAAAGGGGTGGCATGGAAAATAACCAAAGGGGCTGCCCAGGGAGTTCTCTAGAAAGTTTGACAATTTAAAATATACATCCTTAGGGTACGTTAAATGTACAAAGTGAACAGAGACTGTGACATGTCCAGGGTAAACTCCACTCTCCCCCTGATTTGCCCTGATTGCCTGCACAGACACTGTGTCTCACTTAAGGGTGATTTTAATCTCTAGTCCACGGTCCCTGTAGTTTCCGGTACACAGCAGGCTCTCCTATCATCTTGATAAACTCCTACTCATTCTCCAAGTCTCAGTGCAAATGGTACTGCCTCTGTGGACCCTTCTCTGACTTGCTCAGACAGATTAAGCTCTCTGGCTACAGGATTTTGACCTATTTATTCTCCAGAGACTTCTTTGGTCCCTTCTCACTAAGGGATACAAGCCACACACATTATCAAGGACTTGGAATCCAGACAATGAAAACTTTGAATTTAGGTCACCTGATAGTGGGCACCCCCCAGTGCAATGGCAACCGTAGTATGAGAGGCAAAGATAAAATAAGAAGAGAGAAGCAGGATGTGGTGGCCAGAGGAGAAGGGAACTTAGGTCCCATTCACAATGCACCCCTCTCCTCTGTCCTCCTCAGGTTTCTTAGAGTATGTTACAATCACCGTCTTTCTAAGGTCAGAATCCTCTTTCCACTCTGTTCCTCTCCTGCTCTCATTTCTCCGCAAAAATGAAACTCCTTGTTTGCTGTTCCTTTGCTGAGCTTTGTTTAACCAAAATTAGTAAGTGCCTACTGTGTGCCAAGCACTGCGATACAAAGATGAATGAGGCCTGATCCCTGCCTGAGCTTACAGACTAGCTTGAGAGATGGGAACGCGGAGACAGCTCACCAATGAGACAGGTGACAGGCAAGTTTGTGAAGGCTTCCTGAGCTCGGTTTTCTTGAAAGATCCCAGTTCATTCAGGCGAGGAAAAATGGAAAAGGCGTCCCAGTAGAGGTGTGGTGGAAGCAAAGGCTAGGAGGCGTGAAGTAGCATGGCACCCTGCAAGACCGACAGCTTGAAGGACAAGGCCAGGGCACCAGGAAGCAAAGCTGGAGACTCAGGCAGGGGCCAGGCCATGGAAGGCTGTTTGTTACTTAAGGTTCTCTTGGTGGCAAGTAGCAGAACTCAATTCATAGGAGCTCAAGCAGAGGGGGCATTTTTGGAAGGAAACTGGATTAACTCAGTAACTCCAGGCCAGGGAGACAGCAGAAATAAGGCACAGGAGCAAGAAAGGAGACCAGATCACTCTTATATTCTACCTTCTCCAGAATGATCTTTATTTGGAAGTTTGTGAACAGTTTTGGAGATAAAACAGAAGGAAACTTCCCTCAACTCAGGGACCAACCCCACAACTCAGCCCCCGTCAGCAGGGCCACCTGGTAATCCAGGTTGATGTGGCTGATAGGGCAGGAGCGCCCACATCTCCTACCTGAGCACCTACAGTTAATACGTTTTTTGAAGTTCCTTGAAGCATCAAGACAACTTTAATCTCAACGAATGCATGTCCACAGGGCCCAAGTTTGGAAAACCAACGTGGGCTGCTTGTTGGCCTCCTCGCTTGGTAGTCAATCTCTGTTTTGCTTGAAAGCTTTATGTTCGAAAGTCAAGAACTGTCTCTCCAAGATGCCCTGTCACTTCTCTTGGCCTTGCAAGATGTTGCTTTTTACACACCATTGACTACTGCAAAGCTGTTCCAATGGCCAGGGATGCAGACATGATGCTCCTGAGATCTACTTCTACATCCATCAGAAGGCTTAACTGAGGAGAAATGTTCTATTTAAATCACCATCCACACAGAAAACAAATAAGATTGAAAAGACCTCAGTTTCAAGGTAGGTTTATTAAAAAAAAAAAAAAAAAACTCTTTTTAATTGAAAAACATTGAGCTGAATTTTCTCCCTGCCACCCCTCTTACACAAACAGGGCCTGTAGGCACTGAGCTGCCTAAATAAGCAAATACTGTCGTTGGCTTGGCAGCCGAGACTGCTAAAGCACACAACCTCGGCTGAATAGCTCCTTTCTGAGACTCCCCCAGCCTTGTGCTTGCTTGAGGTGAGCAGGGTGTATTCAGGTTAATGGCAAATGGAATCTGGATTCCTCACAAAGAGCCTTTACATGAGCAGCCAGGGCACAGAAACCCACAGAGCTTGGAAGCCATTGAAACTTCTGAAAGGCCAAAACAAGGCCCAAGATCAATGTAATTGTTGTTGGTCTGACATCCCAAAGGCATCAGTAAAGCTGTATCCTGATATCATGGTATTGATTTTTTTTCAATTATCTTAACACTTTACAAGCCCTCCTTGGAACTATGGTGAAAGGAGTTCTTTCCAACCTCAATAGGAGGGTTTGTGCTGCATTTTAAAGCCAAAGAGGGATCAGGGAAAGTCGAAAAGGTTGCAAACCACTGTGGTAATGACTGCGATATGCACCAAGCAAAATAAATGAGCAGACAATTTTCTAAAGGGCAAAGTGGCAGTGTAATTTATTTAAAAAACACCCTCATTGAACTTGGGGACAACCGCAGCATGGAAACTGCAGGGGACATTTCCAGTTCTGTGACCCACACACAAGACCCGGAATACCACATCCCTGTTTCTACCTTGAGAGAAGGGGGCATTCTCCTGAAATGGAAAATCCATTTTTCATCATGGAAAGTTCTAATCCTGATCAGTCAACAAAGATCTCTAGAAGCAAATGCCATCAAACCATGGCAGCCTCAAGGGGAGTCGCCCACCTGGGCAGCAACCAAGATCATCCTGGCAGGGCCTTCAGCCTTGCTCATGAGCAGATTGGGGGCATCCCTCAGAGAACCCCAAAACACCTGATCTTGCAATATGCTAGTGAGGACAAGCCAATACCACTGAGAAATTTCTGTTCCCATGTACCCACAGCCTGGAGAGGTGTAGGGAAACTTTGGTGACAATAGGAATGCCAACCGTTGACATTGGTTATGATTCCCCAGTGTGCCATGAGCTGAACTCTAGAAGCTTTACCCTAGTCACTGAAAACACACAGAATCCATGCTGATGAGAAATTGGGTTTCACAACCATCCTTTTGGGAGAGACTATCTTATATGACAATCAACCATAATTG